AAAAAAAAAAAGAAAAGTGGTGAGCTGAGACACGGAAATTTGAGTGTCAGCTTGATTGGCTTGAGAGACACTTGAGGGACTGGTGGGGCACACTTCTGGGGGTATGAGGGTGGTCATGCTGCCACTCCCCTGCTTTGGTTCCTGGCTGGCACGAGCTAAGCCACTTTGCTACATCTCGTCCTTCCACCATGGAAGGCTATTCTTGCCTTAGATGTTTCACACCATGGACTAACTCCCCGGAAACCATGAGCCAAGTGAAACCTCTTCTTTAAAATTGTGGGTGTTTGGCCCTGTGTCCCTATATTGGGAAAACTGACTAGTATAGAAGAACGAGAAACAACAGGGGCTCAACAAATGCTTGCAGGAGGAAAGAAGGGAGAGAGAACTAGAGGTTGCCAAGGTAGTCCATGTATTTCTTACTACTTGAAGTTTTTCCTTTTGAAGAATAGGGCCCCAATCCACATCATAGAACCAAAGTCAGAGCTGCCTCCCAAGAGGGAAAGAGAGGAAGAAGATGGGTCTTCTGATAAGAGATCAGCAGGCCACCTTCCTAGGGAACTCAGCTGGCATGAAGAAGCCACTTATAGATCCCAATCCCCACATCCTCACGGTCTTAGTCCTCATATCTCTGGACCGTTACCCTGGAGAATTCTGAGTCCCAGGTCTTCCAGGCTTTGTAGCTGACTACTGCAGATGCCAGGCTGGCCCACCAGGGTCCCAGGCAGAGATGAGGGAATTATAGATAATAACCAGCTCGTGAAGCAAGCCGCTTCCAGCAACACAGCGTTCTTCCCGACCAGGCCACCTCGTAAGCATCAGATTCATCTCCATTCACCTCCATCCTTCCCAGCACCTTCTCCTGACCCAGGTCTCCAGGCATCAGAACTAGATGCTGAACCTGAACTGGACATAGCATTCTTGCGTCTAAAGGAAGCAGGTGAATCAATACAGATAGACCAACAGTACCCCCAAGAAATAGAGTGATCCAGTGCCCCAGCAGGTAAGAGAACGGTTCAGTTCTCTGGAGCCCTGACTCAAATTTCCAGACCCAAGGCACAGCCACAGCCTGACAGCTTCTCACTTGTAAAGTTCTCAGGGGACCTTACCCAAGGCATACCTGACAGAAGTTGGAAAGAAAAAAAATGGTCAGCCTTTCCTCCCAGGGCACAAAAGCTTCCGCCTCTTGGTAATTACAGATAGCCTGCCAGACTAATAATGAGAGATAATATCTCTTCCCACCTGGGGACAGCTGGGGGCTGTCCCTCAAAGCAAGGTGGGTGGCAGAGGAAACCCAGCCCCACACTGAAAATTTAAAACAGACATGCTTTGGCGAGGGTCATTGCATTAAGCCTACTTTTGAGTCCTTTGGACAAAAGCACTCTCTAAAATAAATATTATTTGGGGGGAGGACAGGTCTCACTCTAATTCAGGCTGACCTAATTCACTATATATCCTAGGCTGGCTTCAAACTCAGGCGATCCTCCTGCCTCAGCCTTCAGAGCGCTGGGATTACAGGTGTGCATCACCATGGCCAGTTCTTTGTTCTTTCAGTGCTAGGATTGAACCCAGGGTATCACATGTGCTAGCCAAGCAGGTCACATTCCCAGTCCCCATCTTCATTTTTTATGAAACAACACCTGTTGTGTGAGGGGAAAAAATGGCACGCAAATCCTCCATGCGCCCCAGAGGAAATTACTGCTAACCTTTTGTACATTTTCCTGCCTCATTCAGGAATGTTCTGAGAAGACGTAAGCTGACTTTTATGCCATAATATTGTCCCTCACAGACTATTTTGTAACTTATTTTATTCACTGAAAAGTATTTAACATAATTGTTTCCAAAATAGTAAATGTAGAACATTCATTGATTCTTTGGTATTCTTTTAAACGGGTGTGTCATTTCTTTTAGTATGCCCCTCTTTCTGGATACTTGACCCAACTGCCTTTTAAAAAGCCAAACAAAAGACTAGTGCAATGAACATTCATCCGCAGACATCACTGTGCGCTTGGCTTATGGCTTCCCCATCACAGGACAAATGCTCCAGGCAGAAATGGGCTGATCGAAGCATGTGCACCTTTCTCAAGTCTGTGGGTCACCCATCGCATTGACCCCAACAGAGCTGCCCTGCCAGAAAGTGAGGTCTTTCTGGGGAACTGTCTTGAGCATAAGGGAGAGGCCTGAAGGCTGAAGAAGGTTTAAACAGAGGGCCAGTGAGATAGCTCAGTGGACTAAATGCCTGCTTAGGCAAGCTCAGGGACCAGGGTTCAATCCCTGGCACTACATGCCACATTGGCCCTACCCCCCGGTGTGCTAGCCACCAAAACCTGGCGTGGTGGCACACATCTGTAATCCCAGCGCTCAATAGGCTGACACAGGAGGACCACTACGAGTCCAAGCTGAGCAGCAAGACCCTGTATCATATATATATATATATATATACAAACAAACAGAGTCGCAGGTTTGGACCTAATGCAAAGCAAAGCAACGTTCGTTTGTATATATATATATATATATATATACAAACAAACAGAGTCGCAGGTTTGGACCTAATGCAAAGCAAAGCAACGTTCACTGCAGTAGCTAGACTGGCTCCACGTGAAAGCTCTGTGCTGATAGGTATCTGAGCTACTAATTCCTTACCTTTCACTGCTGGAGGGTTTAGAGCGTGTGAATAAAAACCTTGCATGGTTGTATACTAAATATGGGATGAGATGGAAAAGGACAAGGGGAGGGGAGGGGAGGAAGGGGAGGGGGAGGGGAGGAGGAGATAGTAATGGTAAAATCGAAGTCAAGCATATGCACTGGAAGGCTGTGGGCTGGCTCCACAGGGTGAAGGGCAGCCCCCTAGGAGAGTCCTCTGAGAAGCAGAGCAGAGAGGCCCCTGTCTTTCTCTCCCTCCTTGTCTCCTCTTCCCTGAGAGAGCTGAAAGCCAGTGGCTGGCGAGGCATGAGTGCCTGATGCCGACAGGCTAGGATACGCCTTAGCCCTCCTGGAGGCAAATCCCAGGTGCCAGCCAGCACCCAGATCCTGCCAGCCCTGGGTGAGGCCTCTACCTTGACGGCTCTGCCACAGTCCACGGAAAGGACCCACGCTGCCTGCCAGCTCACACTTCTGAGCCCACGGGCCATTGTCTCCTAGAAATGAGGGGAAAAAAAACCCATGTAACTGTCACCAGGCTGGGGCATTCTTTCACCAACTCCCCCTCTCTGGTCCCACATCCCTGCACATGAGGGAACTGTGCCAAAGAAGTATTTGTAAAGGCAAACACAAGTCCTAGCTGTGAAGCTCCCTTGACATGAGTCCAAGCCTCTGCCCTTGTACTGCTTTACCTCTTTATACGGTGTTAGCAATCCCCTCCCCCGGCCGCCAGCAGCAGCCCAGCAACCGCACACGGAGCCCCTTCTATTCCCCTCGTGTTCCTACACTCCTGTAACATGCTGTGGAGCAGATTCCACCAGCAGCTTTCTGAGGATTACAGGATTGGTGCAGCTCTCCCAGGATCGGAGCATGGGTTCCAATCCAGGCCTCAAGTGGATTCAAGATCAGTGCTTTAAACCACTGTCCCTGTTCCAGACGGGGACCTGAGACACACAGCGCACGTGTGCGCCCTTCGATGGGGTCACTCGTTCAACCACCAGGACTCCTCGGCCAGAAGGTGTCACAGGACTACCGGAGGTAAAGGATGTCTCTGAGGCTGGAGAGAAAATGCTAGAACTGCACAAGGAAAGCATGAACTCACAACGTCAGAGCAAGGCCCACAGCGCCTGAGTCATGTAGGGAGCCAGCAAGGTGCAGACTCTGTCAGTACAAACTGCCCCAGGGACTCAGCCTTGGAGCACCCAAGATGCATGCTCAGCATTCAAGCCCAAGCTCAAAGCCGGCCCCCCTTCTACAGAGAAGGTCACCTGATCAGGCTGAGCTCTTCGTGCGGTGTGTGCAGGGTTATGCATTAGTTGAGCTAGTGAATGTAGCTTTTACTACTTTACCCATAAACCAGATGAATGTGTGTTCTTTTGCCGTGCGGTCAACTTTGTCCTTGATCCAACCCACCAGCTCATCCATCTCCCGGAGGCCTGCTTGGTATGGCCTTTGGCCCCCTGGGGCTGCCAATAGCTGCGTCGCAGGTATGGGGACATGCATGTGGGCCAGGGCCACATAGAGCAGGAAGGGTCTTCCGCTGGCGCTGAAAGAAATGGGAGCAGCAGGAGGTCACTCTGCAGGGGGCTGACCCAGTCGTCCAGAGCCTCTGGGCCACCCTTCCCTCCCCCTTCAGGATCCCCAGAGGGGCTGCCCGAGGCTCCAGGAGGGTACTTTTATCTACAGCCTTCTAAGGAAATGTGGAAATCATCAAGTCAGTCAGTCGGAAATGAGAACATGGCAAGAACAGTTGCTACCCTTGAACATTCTCTGAGCGCTTGTTCCAGGGATTCGCGCTGCCCAAGTCCATCCTAATAAGCCCCCAACTCCCTGTTCCCAGACAACAAGTCAGCAGCTTAAAGGGCGTGCCACACACTATCCAGCCAGTGAATGATGGAGTCTGTACCTAAACACAGAGCTGCGGAGAGCAAAGCCTGAGCTCCTGGCTGCCGCAGTGGAGTCCGGGTATCCAGAGCCTGGCGTCCGTTCTAGATGAGGGGAGGAGCAGCTGACCATAGGACACCCCAAGGACACACATGGCCCCCCGGGGAAATCCAGAGCAAGCCTCGGTCAGAGACCCGGGCCCCTGGCCACCTCTATACTAACATTGATTCCACGGAAAAATGCAAAGTGAAAGCGGAGAGGGAGCTGGGGGTGCCCTCAGAAACTCTGTTGTCCTGCGTCACTGCCACGTGATAGCAGCTGCAGGGACCCAGGCGATGTCCCTTCCCACGGGTCATACCCTGGCAGGGGTCTTTTAGAGGACCAGGAGGCTGGTCAGCTCAACTACGTGCATACACACAAGAGCCAAGCCGCGGTACACCAGCTCACCCAGAACCCACTTCCTTCTTGGCTCACCCTGGCCCACAGCCTGCAGGCTCAGCTCAGCATGAGCTACGTCGAGCACGCCCCGCTCCCTGCCCCGGGGGCCACGGACTGGGGTGGGGCCTGTCCTCAGTTTCCTTGGATGGGTACAAACCCCCTGGCACCAAGACATGGAGCAAAAGGGAGGGAAGATACTGGGAAGAAGGAAGAACACACTCAGAAAGGGAACAGGGCAGGGGGAATGAAAGGAAGGGAGAGGGGATTTTATAAAAGAGAAATGAAGGGAAGAATGGAAAGAGAACTCATAAATGCAAAGGGGAAGAAGGGTCAAAGGCTATACAAAAGAGGATAGATGTACAGCTACTTTTTCTTAGTTCAGTGAGAAGAAAGATTTGTACTAACAGTGTTTAGACAAGATATCATGTCTGCATCTTATACTATGAATAACTACTATGAAGACAACAATATGAAGTGTATTCATTATTGTAACTGCCCTACTAACCTATTCTGAAACTGTCCCATTGCTATTTCTTTCTCAATAAAATTAATTTTAAAAAGTCGAAGGAAAAATGGAAAAAAAGAATTAAGACATATTATGAACATGTATAACTTCCAAATGATGAATGTGATCATTATGTATGGCAAATTGTACTACTACTAATAATTTAAAAATTAAAAAGAGGACATCAGACCCAAGACAGGGTCCTTGGCCTTGCCCAGATTAACCCACTGGTTCTACACTGCTTTTCTACAGCTATGTTGTCCAAGGAAGTAACTAACCCAAGGGTCATGAGCTACTTGTGTTAAATTATCAAAAATCAAGCAGTTAAAATTGCAAATCCTTGCTTCACATGATAGAGCAGCTGCAGATAAACGCTTTCTTCATTGCACTAGGTCAAGTCATCAAGTGTCCAATAATCCAGCTGCTTGCATGCGGTCCCTGGGTCACCATGCTCAGAGAGTAAGAGTGGCAGCGTGGGACCACTGTCCTCCAGCCTAGAGCCCAGGAGTGTTCCTCTTCCTTGGCTGGCCAATGCAACCTCAGGGCTTATGAGCACCCGAGGAAGTAGAGAGACAGCCTTTGATGGGAAGAAGAGAAGGGCGAGGATAGGGGAGTAAAAAGGAAGAAGGGCCAGTGAGAGAGTTCAGCAGATTAAAGTGCCTGCTTAGGCAGACACAGGGACCAGGTTCGATCCCCGGCCTGTTGTGCTGGCCCCACCCTGGGGTGTGCTGAGACAGTGAATGAGACTGGGTGTGGCGGTGCACCTATAACCCCAGGGAGGGAGGCTGAGGACAGGAGGGTCACTATGAGTCCTATCTGTGTAGTGAGACCCTGTGGACCCTGTACTAAATACAAAAACAAAAAAATAAGAAGAAAGAAAGGGAGAGCAGGGGCCAGGGAGATGGCTCAGTGGAATAAGCACTTCCCTGGCAAGCACAAGGACCTGAGTTCAATCCCTGGTTCTGCAAAAAAATAAATAAATAAATAAAATAAAATAAAAAGAAAAGGAGAGCAGGAGGAAGAGGGAGAGGGGGAAGAAAAGGCAGAGGGGGAGGGAGAGGAGAGTGGGAGGGAACATAGGTAGGTCATTTAGGAGTTGGGGAAGTAATGGGAAAATGAAAATGTTCTACAGGTAAACAGACAGGAAGGTGGCACAATGGTGTGAATGTACTCAATACCACAGAACTTCATGGGACAAAGTAGTTAGGATCAGCCAGGCATGGTGGCACAAGGAACATCACAAGTTCGAACCCAGCTAGGGCCACTCAGAGACTTAGGCAGACCTGGTCTTGCAATGAAAAATAAAAATGGGCCTGAGTGTGAAGGTCTTCAGTACCTCAAAATGAATAACTAAATAAAAATACGATTGTTGACATGGCAAATTGTGTACATGTGCATGTATACACACAACTTTCTGAGCTATGCCACGGAGAGCGGTGGGATGGCCTGCCCACAGCTCCACACTCAGCCACTTCCTGCTGGATGCCCGAGATCAGGCTCGGTGAGGACACTCACCTCCCCGACCCCCGGAACCGGCCATGCTCCAGGCGGGCTCTTCTCCCCAGCAGCTGTTCATGAAACGCTTACCAGCTCCCCACTGCATATGGTCTAGGAAGGGCCCCAAGGCTCCGTCTCCCAAAGTCCCACCATCATCGACATCACACTAGCTCCTGGGCCAGAGGCTCAAAGACACAGGTGACCATGGAGGTGGCAGAGGGGACAGATGAGGAGTGCAGGCTTGGGAAACTGGTGCCCCAATCCCAGGATGTTCTGTGTCACATCTGTGTAACCCTTAACCCTGTCCTGCATGAATTCACTTAACCCTGTCCTGCATGCAGTGGGACAATCTTATCTCAAAGTTGTGAGCGGTGTGCATTTAATAATGGTATCTTTTCATTAATAATTAGGAATAATACATGCCTATTGTAATAAAGATGAATGGTACCCAAAGATATACCCTTTCCCTGCATCCTGATGCCAGGCTAGGGTTTCTAAAGATGACAGACCTGTCCCCTGTGCCCTAAAGCACATCTTTCAGGTGCCTAAATCACATTTTCATTTCAGATTCTCGTGCTGAATGCAACACAGGGTTGAGGAGACCTGGTGTTTTCAGGATGAAAAGCACTGACTATAAGACAGTGTACTTCCACTTATCTTTGTTTTGGTTTTTAAGACAGAGTCTTGTTTTGCAGTCTAGGCTGGCCTTGAACTCACAGGGCTCCTCCTGCCTCAGCCTCCTGAGTGCTGGGACTACTGGCATACACCACCATGCCCCACTTCCACTTATGTTTCCTTTTTAAAATGCTCACTTCAATTATACATTAATAAAGGCAGAGAATGAGGCTGGAGAAACACTTTCAGGTTTATTAAAAGGAGTTATCTTTGAAGTGTGAAATTTCGAGTGGTGGAGCTTTGTGTTGCTACTGTTTTGCTTATCTCTGTTCACATAACTTTCTAAAGGGAACACATTATTTGTGTGTTAAAACTAACATGGTTAGCAGAAAGAAAACAGGAAGGAATACATAGACAAGGGGCACTGCCCTTTGGAGAAGGGTCCCTCACGGGTGCCTGGCCTGAGAAAGACAGGCCTTTTGGGTAGCCCCCTGGAGTCTCTAGAATTGATCTGAAACAGTCACTTAAACCCTGCTGCCCCCATCTCAGCATCTAGAACTGAAAAAGAAGTGACCGTGGCTTATTTGGAAATCTGCTGGAGTTCACTGTGGCCCCTAGGACCAGGCCAAACACCTCAGCCTGCGTCCATGGCCTTCCCTGCCGGGTCCCCTTCAGTCTGGCCTTCCTAACCCCCAAGTCCCTTCTTATTAGCTCCCTGGGCCCCTCATCCTCTTTGCCTTCGGGGACCTGGGCACAGTGCTCCTCTCTAGCTGCATTCCTGGGTTTCTGCTGCCAGGAATACCTGGTCAAGTGCTACACCCAGATGGGCCAGGGATGTAGCTCAGTGGCACAGCACCTGTCTGACAAGCGCCAAGTCCTGAGTTCAATTCCCCGTGGGGGGAAAAATATCTTGCACTCAGCTCACAACCCATCAGTACTGCTTTTAAACCCCACATTGGGATTCATTTTTAGCATCGATGCTAGATTAAAGGTCCAAACTCAAGCAAGACCCATCTGAAAATGCGCCAGGAAGTCCTGGGTGGGCTTTCTTGCCAAGGAAGAGCAGGATGCCTTGCTCCAGGAAGACGGGAATTGTGAAAAATGGGCCCAGAGGAATGTGGGACTCAAGACTGTAGCCAGGCCTGAGGAGCAAGGGGCTCAAGCAGGGGGTTTTTCAACAGGATCTCAGAAAGTCATGGCAGATGGTCACCCATTCCAGAAGAGAGAGACACCGTGAGTACAACGCCCTGTGTAAAGGTAAGTCAACAGGTTCTGTGAAGGTTTGCTTCGCTTACGTAACACTGCTTCCATTTGCTAAGTAGGATGCTAGATGATTTGTCAGCTGATTCACTAACGGATGGGTGTCCACACACCAGATCCCCAGCAGAGCAGGTGTCACAGGGTCCCTCGTCACCGCTCAGCCACAGTTCCTCCCCTCAGAAGCTTGTGCTTTCCGAGGCACAGAGAAAGCAGGAGGGCACTGTCCCCTGTAGTCCCGAAGCATCCTCCTACCACGGGGCATGCCGGCCTCAAACCGCCTCAGAGTTTGGAGCTGGGCTATGTTTAGCCCATTACATGGGAGAAGGATTTTTGAAACTCTTTTGATATCCATAATCAGAAAAATCGACCAACAGCACTTCTCAAAAAAAAAAAAACCTCCTAAGAAGCCATTCTGATGCAACCTCGAAAGCCCTCGGGGGCTGCTCCCGAGATGGAAAACCCAAGTCGTGGGCTTTATTATAAGAACGCATGTCAAGCGATTCCCTACACGGCTTCCTTTCTCCCTGTCTGGACGGCCGCAGGACAACTCGGTGATGGGACTGCAGCGCGTGCGCGGAGCTGGTGGCTCGCTCCCCGCAGGTGGATCTGCTCTGAATTCTGCGCAAGCAGGCGCCCCGCGGCGCAGCCCAATTGCTCGCGCTCACGGAGGAGGCTGCGGACCTCCCAAAAGCCATTCCCCGCCTCGGGGAGCTCACGATCTTGGGAGAGAGACCGGATGAGTGAGCACTCGGTCCCCGCGCTCGGACCCCACGGAGGTCACGCGGCAGCGGCTCTCCGCGTGCAGGATTTGTGAGATGGGCGGCGATGCGCGTGTGGTTTTCTACATTGTGTTGTTTCTGATCAATAGTTTCTTAACAGATAAAGATCAGAAAAGGTGTCGCTTAATGTTTACATTTTTTTTACTTTGACCAGTTCTATGTGTAATCTGAGCAACTACATTGAGGACAGCAATGTGCATTATATCAACCACCATTGGATGGCTTTCCTTTTGTTTCTTTTTTGTTTGTTTTTGTTTTTTTAAACGTGTACCATCTCTAATGTCTCGCCTATTATTTTCATGATGTTTTTAAAATAAATGTTTAAAAAAGTAAAAAGGACAAGAAAAAAATTAAAGTTTAGTGAAAGAAGTTTTAATGGTTTTTGTTTGTTTTTGGGTTTTTTTTTTTTAGGGAAGGGTCTATAGGGTGTTCAGGGTCTCACTGCTAGAATGGACTTGTAGGGATCCTCCTGTTTACAGCCTCCCGAGAGCTGGATTACAGGCATGTGCCACCATCATTGTTGTCTCAGCCGCCCCAGGGGCAGGGCCAGCACAACCCGCCCAGGGATCGAACCCCTGGCCCCTGAGCCTGCTTGCAGGTGCTGTAATTCACTGAGCTATTTGGCCGGCCCTCAGATTTAATGTTGAATTGCTTGATCAGTCTTACACACCTATATCTGGTAATCTGAGCAACAAATTTGATGATAACAATATGTAATATAAAACCATTGTTTTATTTGTTGAACATTGTTAATTTTCTATTCTTGTTTTTAAATTCTGTACCATTTTATTGTTCTAAGTTGCTTTGTTTTTGTCTTTGTTCCTATTTTGGGTTTTTGGTGTTTTTTTTTTCCTCTTTAAAATAAAAAAAAATGACACTGAAAGCACAATACACAAAAAAAATTTATAAATTGGATTTGCTCAAAATTAAAAGTATTTGCTCTATGGAAAAAAGAAAAACATTTAAAGATCAGGAGCTCATATAAGAGCCTGGTAGCCTGTCTGCTTCGGAACACGGAACTATCTGACACTTCGGCTCACTCTCGTTCCCAACAAGAGTCACGTAGCTGGCCCTAGGCAGCAGCTGCTCCATCTTGGTGGGGGGTGCTGACCAGGTCACTGAAGGCCCCCCACTCCTTAACACCTCACACTCAACCTGCTCCTCTCTCTAACTTTACCTATTTGGCCCTGCAGATGCTCAGATTTGAAATCCCATGTGTGGTCAAGGGTGGCAGAACAAGGACCTTAAAAATACCTAATTCCTGGAGTCTGGGAGTATTTGTTGATGCAACAAATGGAACTGCACGGGTACAATCATGTTGGGGACACTGTGATAGGGAGATGTTACGGCTTGTGTCTAGTTGTGCCCCCAAAGCCTCATGCAGCAACTGGGGCAGGCTTCTAGAGTCTGTGATTAATTTATCATCCAATGCTGGGATTATGGGTGTGAGTCCCCAGGGCCCACTCTGGGGTAGATACCTGAGTGTAGTATAAGGAAGGGGGACTAGCTAGCTGCTGTGGCTGCTGTTCCTCCCTTTGCTCTTCGCTGTTTTCCACCACCATAAACAGCTGCCCTCTGCCCTGTGCCACTGTGCCTTGGAGCCAGCCAAGTATGGACTGAAACCTCCACTAACTGTGAGCTAACTAAACCTTTCCTTCCTTCACTTTGAGTGTCAGATATTTTGTCCCAGCAATAAGGGAAAAGTAACCAATACAAGAGACTATCTTGATTAGCCCTAAATACATGCACAGATGCGCTGGAAAGAAAGACACAAAGGGAAGCCAAGTACCCAGGTACACACACCAGCAATCCCAGTGGTTTGGGAGGCTGAGGTAGACTCACTACCAGCTTGAGGCCAGCAGCCTGGGAAAAAGAAGGAGAGTAGGCGAGGGAGAAGGAAGAACCCAACAAAGGCATTGAGGAGGACTGTACCACAGGTACGGACACAGCAAGAACACGAGAGGCAGAAGTCAGACTGCTTCAGCCGTAAGCTGAGGAATCCCAACAGCCACCAGCAGCTACAAGAGGCAGGGCCAAATCCTGCCCTGGAGACTCCAGAAGGGGAAAAGAAAAAACTAACATATTCCTTTTAGCCTCCTAAAGCTCATTTTTGGATACCTGCCCTTGGGATCTGCAAGAGAAGGAATTAGCATCGCTTTAGCCACTAACTCGGTGATTATTTGTCATAGCAGCAACAAGAAACTAATACAGCCTGCCAAGTCATGAATTCACCAAATGCCTGAGTGCCCCATTACAGAGGGCAGGCTCTGCCTTCAGGGAGCTCTGCCTTCAGGTTCTAGTCGGAGAGGACAGAAAAATTATGACTCGGGGGCACAATCAAAGCCGGATGTGGTAAGCTCCTGGGGACATCAGGACATGCCTGGGAAATCCTGACCCAGGACCAGAGGGGGTGGATTCCACCTTGATTTATAGGAAACATGCATGTATCTTTCTTTCTTGAGCAACCGATCTCCTCCTCGACCTTGCAAGGGCTGCGGTTAACGTAGGCCAAGGGAGGGAAGGAGCAGGCCACCTTACCTTGCCTGCTCAATGAACTGGGCTGCTTTTTCCGCATACTTCTGTGCAAGGCTGCTCAGGTTCACGGGCTGCTCCACAATGTTGAGGTTTTCATAGAGAGGAAGGGCCACATCCACGTAACAGGCCCTCTTGTGTCTCCTGTGTAGAACCGCAGAGAGAGGGCTGGTGAGATAGCTCAGCAAACCAAGCTCCTGCTTAGGCAAGCTCAGGGACCAAGGTTTGATCCCTGGTACCACATGCTGTGCTGGCCTCACCCTCAGGTGTGATGAGCTGGGGATGGAGTCTCAGCATGGTGTCACATGCCTGTAATCCCAGCGCTGGGGAGGTTGAAAACAGGAGGATCACTACAATTCT